CCCCAAAACCCCAAAACCCCAAAACCCCAAAACCCCTAGCTATATAAGATTGGTAGAAATATAATTATATCTTCAAAATGAGTTCAGCTAATAAAATACAACCCAAAGTATTTCCAATTGCTCCATCTCTGAAATTAGAAAAGTCCTTAGAGGACTGTGACATCAGTGATGATGTTCTCTCTGAGTCATTGTCAAAAGCACCTAGCTATAGAGTAGCCAGGTTGAGAAAATTCTTCACAAATCATCAGTGCATTAGCAAGGAGACGGTGTGAGCTCCTCTCAATCAGGATTTTTCAGGTTTAAAGAAGATGAGAAAATTTACAAGAGTTTGAACTTCCAAAGCTGCAAAACTATTAGACGAACGTAAGGCTAGCATAAGGGCTTCAGAAGGGTCTCCTAAATCGTTACAGTCTGAGATTAGTAGTCTACTACAACAGCTGATTATCAAGAAAAAGAAGGCCAAAATATCTAGACCACCTTTTGACTATAAGGCTGGGCCTTCACTTACTCCTATGAACAACTCAAGTATGGAGCAAAGGTGTGACAACTTCATTCTTACAATCGGAGACATCGACGAGCCTCAGAAAGCTCCAAGACTCATGAGATAATCTTCTCTGCATAAGCTCTATGGTCGTCTAGCCAACTTGGTTATACGGGCAGAAGTCTACTAATAATTTCAAAAAGTTATTCACCAAATTCTTCTTTGCCTGCCTTCCTAAGAAAGTTGTAATAGTTCGATATTTTCCTAAGTTAGTATGTTTAGAGTCACTCTCAGATATTTTGTAAGGCTCCTACATGCGGGTTGGAGTAAGCAGCCAGCTGAAAAGGCAGCATTTGGGATGGCTTCGCATTTGAGCCAGCGAAGAAATTTTTGATCGGGAGGAGATTGATTTTGGAATGGGTATCATTGAAAAATTTTAGGAATAAAATTTTGGCTAAATTATACTATGACATTGGGGATTGATAAGTCCTGATGGTTTATTATAAGCTTACCTCTCTTTACAGTTCAGAGATGCTTGTGTAGACATCCAGCGATTCTAAATTACTATATCGTATGATGATTATTGTAGTGATTGGATAGCTTTCCTACCCTTATAAAAGATAGCATAAGCTCCCTTTATTCGAATTAATTCCTGTATTTCTAATAATATAGAATCAATATTTTTCCTTATATTTTTGAATTTGTCTAGACTGACGATCACACTTACCCAGACAACGGTTGATTCATTCATTCGACCAAAGACGAGTGAAGATGGACCATCATTGCATAACAATAGAAACAATATTTTATGAACTTATTGATATAGCTAGCCATTATATTTCCTTCATAAACTTCAAATTATGATAAATGAGAGTATTTATGCCTTTAAATTTGAGAAAAAGATTTACCAATCAAGAAGTCTATACTCTACTTTTATCAGCTCGAGTTTGGAAATACTAGCTTTTAAGGACAATAATGATATTCCAAATTTCGGTTATTAATCCAGATAGTATATTCTACTAGCCCTATTCAAAGCAGTATTTTTGTTAAAGACTTAATAGTATGCATTTTTTATTGATAAAGGAAATATGAAATGGCGAATGATTAAAGACTGCTTGAAACCTTAGGAAATTTGGTTATAGTGTCTTCTCCTTGTCAAAGATGCCGAAAATATTAATTGGCAAAATATTGCTATTCAACTATAACTTTTAGATCACTGAAAATCTCTTCATGAGCGCAATCACCACATTTGAAGAGATATGAGAAGATACTCCAGGTTGATTCATTCATCCTGAAATATCTTCTATATATAAGACATAGTGAGGCTAAGGTTTGCAGTCTGAAGGAATAAGAGCTGCTAAGTAAACCTTTAAACGATGTCTGAGAAAGCCAAGGTTATTATCCCAGAATTTTAGCTAAAATTAATACTTATATATTAATTAGAAGATACCTCCAGGATTATATGAGGAACCAATAACTCTAGCTTGCAAAAGCCTAGTCTTGGCTCTGGATTATGAAATAATTTTATTGTCCCTAATTACTCTACATGTAACTTTAATTTACTTCTTGAAAGGCTCTACATGAGTTCTATTCAAAGAAATAGGAAAGATAATCTTGAAATAATAAAAAAGTTAGGGGTACCTTCTCGGCAAACTTTCAGCAATATTTTTATGGATAATAAATAGGACAAAACTGTCATAGTGCATTGTGTGGCAGTCTTATGGCTTTTATAACTTGCTCTAAGTAGTAAGAAGGATTAATTTGAACTAAATTCATCCTGATTATTTTCCTTAAAAAAATGGCATTATGAAAGTAGATTCATTTCCTTTTAGTTCCTCTAAAATAAGTAATAATCCGAAAATTTAGAGTTAAATTATGAGTTGCTAAAATCCTACAAATAACAACACCAACCCTCCTAAACAATACTAAAGCATTCAAACCCATCTCACCATTTCACTTATCCAAATCCCCTAAAAACTTTCAAACCTCTACCACGATCGCGGGGTTTTGGGGTTTTGGGGTTTTGGGGTTTTGGGG